GGTGATCCCGACTACGTCGAGGATGTCGTTCAGAATCGCGCGGACGACTTGCACAGGGAGCTGAGGAAGCTTTGGGACGACAGGTACGACGAGGAGTACGATCCGAAAGTCCTCCATCATCTCAGTCTCTTGCTTTTCAAAAAGAGGAAGTCCACGGAGCCAGCGGACACTGATCCAGCTGGCGCTCCTCAGCCTGGCTCGGAATATGACGCGGCCTTTGCGTCTCAGGAGGAGACTGGCCGAGCCATTCTCTCTGTCCTTAAGCTTCGACATGACTTTCTGCGGAGCAAGAACATCGACGACATGCGCTACGTTCTCACGGAGCCTGAGCGCCAGGAATTGGTCAGAGTAGCTCGCGACCAGTACGAGCAGTCGCGGCAGCAGCGTGCGCTTCAGGAACGGGATATCGAAAAGGGAAAAGCGAAAGGCAAGTCTGCGCCACAAGGGGGCCATGCGGTTCCGCAGGGTCCGAACAAAGGGCCAGGCGGTAAGAAAGGTTCTCACGGTGCTTCTCAGCCTGCGGGAAAAGGTGGCCAGGCCAAGGGTGCAGGTCTGGGTAGCGTCGCCAAGTTTGTGAAAGACCAGAAGCGTAAGCGGTGGCATCGCCATTTGCAACGTGTGGCCGGTACTAAACAGATCTGGGAGGTGCTGGCCTTCTCAGGGCGCTTCGACGTTGATTGGTTAACGCAAGCGTTGCAAGCTGATCACAGTGAGGGCCGTGATGCAGCAGTTCCCGAGGAAGCTCTGCGGCAACAGCGGCGCCGGCTGCACCACCAGAAGGCCGAGGCCATCGCGCGCTACAACGAGGGGGAGCGGCTTTCCCTATATCTGTCTGCCCAGGCTGGCCAGGCAAAGCCGAACTTCACGCGCAGGCAGCAGGACGTGTTGCAGATGTTTGAGAGCGGAGCGCTGCTTCAAATCCGCAACCAAGCGATTCTGGCGTGCGGGCACGGCCGTCTGTTCAGGGGCGATGGCGACTACCTGGACATCGGCGGCAGCACGGGCGGTGGCTCCAGGCGCATCATCGATTCTTGGCAGCCGCCGGACTGGCGTGACTTCCTCCAAGACGATCAGGACATCTGAGTTTTGCAAGTCTCTCTGCCCGCGGTGCTTCTCAGCCTGCGGTCTGCCGCTCTCCAGCTGCGGTCTCGAGCAGTAGTGTTCGAAAGCATGCGAGTTCCTGCGGTGCTTCTCAGCCTGCAGGTTTCGCAGCCTGCGCTCTGCAGTACAAGTGCTTTTCAGCATGCGACATCCTGCGGTGCTTCTCAGCCTGCAGGGTTCGCAACGTGCGGTTTGCAATGCATTCCTTTTCAGTATGCGAGTTCCTGCGGTGTTTCTCAGGCTGCAGGGCTCCGAGGCTCTTCGCTTCGATGCCATTGTTTTCAGACACCGTAGCTCCGTTCCGTAAACGTCTTCCAAGAGCCGCTCGCAACCTTTTGCAGCTGGCTGTCTGCACGCTTCGCCGGCTTTTGCTGCGCGGACACTTTTCACACACACGTCAGCGCCGTTTGTAGGCGTCAGAAAAACATGTAGACATTCACGAAGGGCTCAGTCTGTATATCGTCACATCATTACATACGCAGTCGTCGAACACATCGGTGTACATTCAGCGCTTTGTCCTTCTAGCTGGGTTGCTTCGTGCTGAGGCTGAGGCTGATGCAGGCTGAGGCTGAGGCAGGCTGAGGCTGAGGCCGAGGCTGACGGCAGACTGAGGCTGAGGCTGAAGCAGGCTGAGGCTGAGGCAGAGGCAGGCTGAGGCTGAGGCTGAGGCAGGCTGATGCTGAGGCAGGCTGAGGCTGAGGCTGAGGCTGATGCAGGCTGAGGTTGAGGCAGTCTGAGGCTGAGGCCGAAGCTGAAGGCAGACTGATGCTGAGGCTGAAGCAGGCTGAGGCTGAGGCTGAGGCAGGCTGAGGCTGAGGCAGGCTGAGGCTGAGGCTGAGGCAGGCTGAGGCTGAGGCTGTGACTGCGACTGCCGTTGCCACTGCGACTGTCATCGCGAATGCGACTACGACTGCGAGAACAGCAGAACTCTACAACTGGATTCTCATTTGAATCTTAAGGGGAATGCTTCCAGATATGCTCCTACACATCGCTGTTAGGTTGCTTTGCCGGGATAATTCCTTGCTTTTGAGAGGGCCGGCGGGAGCCCATTCTGGTCTCATCGCCTTCCTGCTTCCTGTATTGAGCTGCGTTAGGAGGTAACTGCTGGGAGGTCTTCGTCGGAAGGATTAGGGAGGATTAAGGCCCGAATGGGGCGCTGTTACGCCAGATGGGGCTCGCATTAAGCGGGATCAAACTGGATCGGGCGGGATTAAGCGGGATTAAGCGGGATTAAGCCAAATGAAGCCAGATTTCGGACCAGGGCGAAATCAAAATTCTAGACGCTTCGCGTATCCCCACCAGCCCGTCCAGAAACGACGCCCAGGCGAGTAGAGGGTCGTCCTGAGGGGTTTTTCGGCGTCTTGGGTGCCTCGGGGGGGCCTCTGTGGGCCGTTCGGGATCCTCTTTGGGGCCTCCTGGGGGCCTCTTGGGGCCTCTTGGGGCCATCTTGGGGCCTTTGGGGGCCTCCTGGGCGCTTCTTGGGGCCTCCTGGGCGCTTCTTGGGTGCCTCTGGGGGGTCTCTTGGGTCCTCTTGGGGGTCGTTTGGGGGCCTCCTGGGGGCCTCTTGGGGGGCCTCGGAGCCATCTTGGAGGACATCGATCAACGAAGGGGGGTTCCCTGATTACAGCCCCCCCCTCAGGAGCCACGATCCTCGTGAGGGGTGTCGAATTTTAGCCCTCCCAGGGGTCGATCTTTGGCGCTCCAACGCGCCGCGGAACCCCCTGTCCAGGTCAGTGGGGAGGGGGTAGGGGGAGGGGTAAACCCCTCCCCGAAGGGGAAGAGGGAGGGGTGGAAGAGGAAACTCGTTAAACCACCGACGCCCAGAGGGCTGGTGGGATTAGACCTCCGAGGAGTCGCATCCGAAACTTCGTGCACATTTTTTCCGAAGGATGGGTACTTCGGCAGCGAAGGACCGCAGAAGGATCCCACAAAGAAGACGTCAGGACTCCACTGACACCGGTCAATCCAAATCCGGGCCCGTCGGGCTTTGCAGAACCCTGCACCGTCCTCCAGTATCGTGCGCCCAAACTGGGGTCGATGCGACTCTGGCTCTGAAGGGTTCCGCAAGATCCAGCGCCCTGGCTGACCCCTGTTTACATTGACCCCCGTCCCTTGAGCCCCGAAGACGGGGAGGCCGAGACCGCCTGGTCCTGAGGCGGTCGACGGACCGTTTCGACCGAGACTTCTCCACTAAACAAGTGCGTTCCACCACGTCTAAAATCCGCCGGCCCCCTTGCGGGGCCATCAGGCTGCGAGGCTTAAGCTTGCTGCTCCCTGCACCAGTTCCAGTTTCCAGTCTCCATTGTTACGGTATTGCTTTCTGCTTCCTACTGTAAATTGTTACTGTCCGCGCGAGGGGCGGGAGCCGAAAAGTGCCGGTTAGCGTCCCCCGGGAGGGTTCTCAGAATTCCTGGGGTTGTACAAATTGACACCCCTCACGCAGATCGCCGGGTCAGAGTCCAAAAACATAAGGGATTTGCCATATTTCTGAAATTCGGTTGCACCCCTCACGCAGATCGGCGGGGTCAGGGCCAAAAAATACAAAGGATCTGCCACACTTCTGGAATTCGGTGCCACCCTTCATGCAGATCGGCGGGGTCAGGGTCTAAAAACACACAGGATTTGCCACATTTCTGACAATTGGTGGCACCCCTCACGCAGATCGGCAGGGTCAGGGTCCAAGAACAGAAGGGATTAGCTGCATTTCTAAAATCCGGTGCCACCCCTCATGCAGATCGGCGGGGTCAGGGTCCAAAAACACACAGGATTTGCCGCATGTTTTAAATTCGGTGGCACCCCTCACGCAGATCGGCGGGGTCAGGGTCCAAAAACACAAGGGATTTGCTACATTTCTGAAATCCGGTGGCACCCCTGACACAGATCGGCGGGGTCAGGGTCCAAAAACACAAAGGATCTGCCATATTTCTAAAATCCGGTGGCACCCCTCATGCAGATCGGCGGGGTCAGGGTCCAAAAACACATGTGATGTGAAACATGTCTGAAATTCGGTGGCACCCCTCATGCAGATCGGCGGGGTCAGGGTCCCAAAACACATGGGATTTTCTGCATGTCTGCAATTCGGCGGCACCCCTCACGCAGATCGGCAGGGTCAGGGTCAGGGTCGTCAAAAAACAACTCGGGATGAAAAAACCGATCCTGGGGAATGGGTCCAGACCCCTGCGGGTCGACGTCTTGAAAAATCATGACGTCGGGTGTCTGGGGAGGTGTTTGGATGCTTCTGCGCCGCCAGGGGTGCCCTCGCGGCCGCGGTCGGATCCGAATCGAGCTTGTGGCTACCCCTCGGCAGGTGGTCCAGGGGCCGATTTCCCCCCCCCCGCGTATGGTTAGCCCGCATCCCCCCCGGGCCGAGCCGGACCCTCCGCGGTCCATAGGCTCGTCTTTCCCGAGGCTCCTCGGGCGCGATCTTGGTTTACCCCGAGAAGTCTTCCGTTTTGACCCCCCCCTTGTCAATTGGCGGTGAATCTGACTGGTCCTCGAATCTCTTTCGCGCTCCTGAGGCAGAAGGACTAGTAGTCGTCGTAGGCGTGGTCGCAATCGTGGTCGTAGTTGTCGTCGTCATCGTCGTTGTTGCGCGGCGGGTGCCGCGGGAATCAATAATCAGCTGCCCCCTATAATAGGGGGTCCCCCCAATAATTGAGGGGACCCCAGTCCTCCAATACGCTTGCTGGACTAAACGAGTTGCCCTCTTATTGGGGGGGGGCCTGAAGACTTTTCAAGTTTTCTCGTCCTCGATCCCAGCCCAAACCTCAGGATCCTCGACCCCCCTCACCAGAGACAAGAGTACCACTACCACCAGCTAGGGGCTGGGCTGTCCCACCCTCTCTAGCCAATGGCACCTCGTCCTGGGCGTGCCTCCAAGTGCCACCAGCTCGAGGGGAGGGAGCGGCCACCCCCCTAGCTGGTGGCAGTGGTACTCTTGTCTCTCCCGACCCCCCAGAGGGCCCTTGATCCTCAGGAGCCCACAGGGTCGGGACCCGAGGATGCGCATCCTCGGCGCGGGCCCTCGGCCGGGGCCGGGGCCGCCCCGCAGCGGAAGCGCCTGCCCCGGGCGCGGGTCCTCAGCGGCCGCTGGCTCGCCGTCGCCGTCGTCGTCGTCGCCGTCGTCGTCGCCGTCGTCGTCGTCGCCGTCGTCGTTGCCGTCGCTGTCGCCGTCGCCGTCGCCGTCGCAGTCGTCGTCCCCTCGGGCTCGGCGGGGCCGACCGGGGGCGCGTGCAGCGGACAGGGCCAGCCCGATCGCGCGGTCGGGCCAGGAACATGTCAGGAGGGGAAAAAACACACAGACACTATTGATCGTCGATGTCCCAGAAAATATTGGAAACTATGAGCAGTGGGGGGGAAGACAGAAACCCAGAACATATTGGAAAATATGGGGGATCTTTTTATTTGTGTGTATTCATCCGTAAGGGCTTCGCCCCCTGCCGCCGGCCCCCTCTCTCGGAGAATGGGCCATGGAAGAGCTAAGTCATGAGGCCTTGGCGCTGTCATGAAGCAGTATCGAAACTTCATGCGAAGCCGATTCGCAATCAGCAAAACCAACTGATCACAAGAGGGGTTACCACACCTGGCGATTGGTAAGACGTGTATGGTTTACGGGCTTGGTTACCACACCTTGCGATTAAAGGGCCGAGGGAGTTCTCGCAGTTTGGGTTACCACGCCTTGCGATGGATGTGCGTGAAGGGTGGCACCGAATTTGAGAAATGTGCCAAATCCCTTGTGGTTTTTGACCCTGACCCCGCGGGTCTGCGTAAGTGGTGGCGCCGAAGTTCAGAAATGTGGCAAATCCTGTGTGTTTTTGGACCCTGACCCCGCGGATCTGCGTGAGGGGTGGCACCGAATTTCAAACATGTGGCAAATCCCATGTGTTTTTGGACCCTGACCCCGCGGATCTGCGTGAGGGGTGGCACCGAATTTCAGAAATGTAGCAAATTCGCTGTGTTTTTGGACCCTGACCCCGCGGATCTGCGTGAGGGGTGGCGCCGAATTTCAAATATGGCAAATCCCCTGTGTTTTTGGACCCTGACCCCGCCTATCTGCGTGAGGGGTGGTACCGAATTTCAGAAATGTAGCAAATCCCTTGTGTTTTTGGACCCTGACCCCGCGGATCTGCGTGAGGGGTGGCACCGAATTTCAGAAATGTGGCAAATTCTTTATGTTTTTGGACCCTGACCCCGCGGATCTGCGTGAGGGGTGGCACCGAATTTCAGAAATGTGGCAAATCACATGTGTTTTTGGACCCTGACCCCGCGGATCTGCGTGAGGGGTGGCACCGAATTTTAGAAATGTGGCAAATCTCTTGTGTTTTTGGACCCTGACCCCGCCGATCTGTGTGAGGGGTGTTGATTTCGAGCCCCCCCAGCAATTCAGACAACGCGCCCAGGGGGTGCTAAACTGCTCGGTTGGGCGTCCCCCCCCCTCGCGCGGTCAATCAACTAGTTACAGTAACCAGAACTGTAACACTGGAAACTACAAGCTACAGCTGGTACAGGAAACTGCGAATCCCGCGCCTACAGCCTGGTGGCCCCACAAGGGGGCCGGCGGATTTGTGTGTCCCAGGGCGCCTCCAACATGGTTCTGCAGTCGCCGTGAAATCGGGGCTCTCGTAGTTCTCTTACGGAGGAGGAAGGTGGTGCGAGCTGCGCTGGCGCCGCGCGCATCCCTGCTGCAGCTGGCCCGCGAGTGCGAGACAGAGGACGCGCGAGACGTACAAGAGCTCCCCTGGCCCACATCTCTCGCGTCTGCACTCCTGAGCGTGGGAAAGGCTGTGGCGCTGGCCGACCCTACGAGCTCCTGCCCAAGTTTCTCTGGCCACATCTCTTCCCTTCGGCTCCCCCCCGGCTCCCTTACATTATGTTTTTTCCTAGAACTCCGGTGGGGGACAAATTTGAGAAAAGAAGGGTATCGTGCCTACGGTCCGTATCACCGACAATCATCTTGTCCCATCGCGCTCGAGCGCCCTATCTTCAGGGAGGCAGCGGCCTAGCAACGTCCACGCGCTACTCGTAAAAGGGTGAAGGCCAACATCCCCATGGTGATGAGGCTTAAGCCAGCTCGCGGAAAGCAGCTGGACTGGCAGCCCCATGGATTGTGGGACACACTCCAACTCGGGAACACATCCAGATGGTGAAATTGCCCCTCTGTCTCACAGACCCCGGCGAGTATGCATCCGCAGAATAATGCTGTGACGATGATTGCGCTCATGTTGTTCGACCCGATCTGCCAAGTATGGTTCCTATACCCCTACTCACCACTTTTCCCACTCTCCACATGAAGAATGTCTGAAGCGTGTTGAAAAACATCCTTCGCCTGCTCAGCATTGACACTGGCATGCGAGGTATTTGGAGGTATTGAACGGACCACCTCCCAGTCGGCCTCCCCGTGCTGGTCTGGAGGCCTGGGCACGCGCTGACCATGCCGATCTGCAGACATAGCGATGCGACAGCAGCCAACTGTCGCAAGTCTTCGTTGGTTGCTCAGAGAGAAGGAAAACAGTACAGGTCAGTATCCTTGACCCTCCTCCTCTCTCCTCCTTTTTCGCCCCCCTCGGGGAGGAGGAGGGGAGGAGGAGGGCCAAAAAGGATGACCTGGTCATTTTTCTTTCTCCTGGGGTTTTCTCGCCCTCGTGGTGCTTGCCAGCAGCTGCGCCTTGCCGGGAGCGTGCGGGGGGGATACCCATATCGTCCTGTTAATGGCCACCGGACGCCTGGGCTGGGGCCAGGCAGCCATATCCAACGTAGAGAACAAGACGGCGGCTGCCGCGCCAGTTTCGGCACCTGCAGGCCCTTGCCGGAAGAACCGGCCCAGATCATTGCACACATATTTTTGTCGGTCGCCATCGGTAGCGACCGATCGACACTCTAAATCGATCGCGACCGATCCCACAATCGGTCGCGAGTGGAGGAGGAGGAGGAGGGGGGCGGCACACCGAGGCCGGGCGCCGAGGACCCCCTGGGGCTGCTCTTCGTGCTGCGGCGCTGGCAGTCGCTGCTGCCCGCGCCACACCTGGGCAGGCGGGCGCTGGTGCGCGTGCTCGACGCGGAGGACGGCGAGGGCGGCGGGGCCCGAGCCAGAGGTGAGCCGCGGGTGTCTTGCTTCTCTTCCTTCTCCTCCTCCTCCTCCTCCTCCTCCTCCTCCTCCTCCTCCTCTCCTCCTCCTCCTCCTCCTCCTCCTCCTCCTCCTCCTGCTCCCTGCCCAGGCCCATCCTTCAGGGGCAGCGACATGTCCAGACCCCCTCGAGCATCGAAAAAATCAGGACGGCAGGTTTTTCATCATTTTCGGCCTCTGCTGGGGGCCCTTACGGGGCAGCGGGGCCGTCAGAAAACGACGCATGACGAATAACCGGTCCCGGGGAATGGGTCGAGACCCTTAGGGGTCGACGTCATGGGAAAATCATGACGTCGGGGGTCTGGGTTGCTTGTATGCAGTAGGGGCCCGACCACCAGACGCCTTCCTCCAGAAACCCGGCCCTGAGATCCCAGGACGCCAATCGATTCCTGGCGTGGGAGCGCCACGGTGTCCCCCGCAAAGAGCCACCGAAGCCCAAGGCACCCAGGGCGCCCTGGAGGCAGGCAGGGTGTGTCTTGGCATGGGCCCCCTGTGTAGGAGGAGGAGGAGGAGGAGGAGGAGGAGGAGGAGGAGGAGGAGGAGGAGGAGGAGGAGGAGGAGGGTGTGTCTTGGCATGGGTCCCCAGTGTACGCGCACGCGAGCACGAGAATCGATCTGTCGGAGCTCCGCTCGGCTGTCCTGGATCGGCGCAGGGCTCCCTGGCGCGCTCCTCCGGCGGAGCTCCGTGTATGCAGCTCTCGGCCTCCCCCAACGCGTGGGTACTCTGATTTCGTAACAAAGGGAGGGGGGTCTCATTTCGGGGGGGTGGGTCTCTTCCAGGCTATCTTGGAGGGCTTGGGGGGTCTGGGGACGATGTTTTGGAGGGTTCTCCCACGGGGGAGGTCTGAAATGGCTTGTCTTGGAGGGTCCAGACCCCCTCCCTTTTGTTACGAAATCTGGAGTACACCTCTGGATCCTCCCCTGTGCATCGGAGGTGGACAGACCTCCTACCCTGACACGTCGACTAAGGAGTTGGCCGTTTTCGGTTCGCGAGAGGGCGTCGCGGCCGTCATTTTTGCGGGTCCAGGGCCCGTCGTTTTCGGTCCCAGGCGGTTTTCACGAAGGGGAGGTTTACGAAAGGGAGGTTTGTCCACCGCCGAGTTCATCATATCTGAAGGGCTTCGCCCTCGGCCGCCGGCTGCAGTCGGGCGTGTCCCTCTACAGGAGGGATGCTCAGAAGCAGTCAAAACATAGGCTGGGCACGGTGCTTCACGTTCTGTTTCACTATATGTTGGGCACTCTGTTACGATGTTTTTCCAGCGCTCGTCCAGAATGTCCCGGCAGGAGGACGTGCCTGACCTGACGCTGGCCCCCCCTGGCGGCCTCGGCTCGGGAGCGAGTGTCAGGAGGGGAAAAAACACACAGACACAATTAATCGGCGATTCCTAGAAAATATTGAAAAATATGGGAAGTGGGGGGGAAGACAACAACCCAGAAACTATGGGAACATATGGGAATCTGTTCATTTGTGTATATTTATTTGTGTGTCCCAGTTCCCCTTCAGAGTGGGAGTGCCCTGGGAGCCCGCGGCCTCGGGAGCGAGCGGCCGCGTCGGTGCGCGCCTCGTCGCGGGAGGCGAGCGGTCCGCTGGCACAAAAATCTCTCGAGGGGGGCGTGGCTCCTCCTCCTCCTCCTCCCCTTTTGTCTCCTCCTCCTCCTCCTCCTCCTCCCCCTCCTCCTCCTCCTCCTCCTCCTCCCCCTCCTTCTCCTCCCCCTCCTTCTCCTCCTCGTGTGGCTCCTCGGGAGCGCGGTGGCGCTGCTCCGGGGGGGGGCGCGCAGCACAGCGGCAGCCCCGTGGTGGAGGGTCGCGAAGGGGAGCGCGCTTGCGGATCACGTATTAAAAAATGCAGGGCTTAGTATCAAAAGCAACGATGGGTTCATGCAACAATGTATTCAGAAATTAATCATGTATTAACAGTCCTCTATATGTTTAAACATCCAATGTAGTAGAACTGCCCTCTATAGCCCCACCCCCGCAGGGCTCATTTCGATCCCTCCGATCCGATGCGGTTCGATGTCGGCGGCCTCCGATTTCGATGCGATGCGGCATCGGGTTCCGATGTGGGTGCTGGCTCCTCTTATGGAGGCCGATTTGCTTGCCGATTTCTGCCGAGTCGACTTCTCCCGACTTGGCTGTGGATTTCTGCCGATCCGATTCATGTCGATCGCCGGTCCGAATTATCGATTCGATTCCGGGATTTCTGCCCCCCGGACAATTAAAGCATCTCCCCCGTGAACCGCCGTATCTTTTTATCCACGGGTAGATTCGATTACCTCAGCGGGCGGGGAGGCCGAATTTTCTTATCCCCTCCAAGTTTCCTATCGTAGCTCTGATCTTCGGCTCACGCACGGCACCACGATTCATCCCGATTCTCATTGTTTGGGGATGTCTCAGGCGAAACACGAACGTCTCACGCAAGAGTTGCCGATCTTATTTGTTGTGTGGTCACTTTCCCGATGATGTCTCAATCAAGACGCTGGGTTTTGCAACTTGCACTGACGCGGGGAGTTGAACGATAGGGATGATCGGGGCTCTTGAAGACCGATCTTGAAGACCGTTTCGGACATTCGAACATCGAGACGCACGTGAAAATGTCCCGCCTGGACCCCAAACGTTACTACCCCAGTAGAGTATTCTCTCCAGCATGGCGTTATTTTTCCCATATCATTTGGTGTACGGGCTTCCGTTTAATAGTGCGATGCATTCCGCCTCATTTCCCATCCTTCCCTCCCGCTTGTTCCTCTTCGTCACACAGGCTTACTCATATGTGCTCATATTCCCTGGCAAGCAGGCCCACTCACACAGAGATCCACCCACATTCAGGCTCACTGGCACTCAGAGACGCTCATACTCAGACTCCCTCACATCTAGATCAAGTTATTCTCAGACTCGCTCTCAGTCAGACCCAAGACGCCTCCGCCTTATTCACTCCCTCCCGCCCTCCATCCCCGTACACAGACATGCACTCACATGCATGCTCAAACAATTCGCACTACGACAAGTCCACACGCAGACCCTCTCGCACCTAGACTCTACACTCAGACTCAGACTCAGACGTCACTCACACGCAGAGCCACTCACACAGAGGCCATTCACACTCCGATGCAGTCGCACTCCGACTGCGTCAAACTACTCCCACTCATTGACGTTCAGATTTTCGTTTACGATTATGATGTCCCAACTTTTTTCAGCCTTGACCACCTGGAAGAATTCCGAGCACCAAACAATACCGAAACTCGATGGTTTTCACGTGCCAGGCCCTGGGAAACGCTCGTCCGACACTGCTTCGACGCTGTTCCGATGCTCTCTCAACACTTTTCGGGGCGCTCGAAATGAGTTCTGGGATGTGGCCCTTAAGTACGATGGGGGCAGCAGAAGTTTGAGAGCCCCACCTTCATCGCGATGCAGCAGGCGCAGCACTTGAGCACCCCAACGAGAAGCCGCCAGGGGGCAGGGCACTCGCCTCTTCGCTTCCATATGGCGGTCATGCCGCGGGCGGTTTGCCCGTTTGCTGCCCTGGGTTCATCGCCCCCCTGCTCTTCCTCCTCCTCCTCCTCCTCCTCCTCCTCCTCCTCCTCCTCCTAGTAGGAGGAGGAGGAGGAGGAGAAGGAGGAGGAGGAGGAGGAGGAGGAGGTTGTTTGGCTCAGGCTTCTCTGGGTTCATCGCCCCCCCTGCTCGAGACGTGGCAGGTGGGAGCCGCCAGGCTCGCCCGCTCGCGCCTCGACTCCGTGGACTTCACGTGCAGCTCTTGCTCGTTTGGTGACTCGGCTTTTGTCTCTCCGCAGCCCGATGCGCAGCGCGCTGCGGCAAGGGGGGGCACGGCACGAGAGCACCCCACGGAGGCGCCGCCAGGGGGTAATTAGACGCTCGCACGCGCGCGGCGGTCACGCCGTGGGGACGCCTCGGGCGGTGTGCCTGTTTGATGGTCCAAACCTCGGTATCCTCGACGTCCAGTGCTCACCGCGATATGACCAGCAAGGCCTGGACACTCCACGAAGGAGCCGCCAGGGGGCAGGACGCGTGCCAGGCCGCGCCCCGATTGTGTGGATGGCTGCGGCAGGTTGCTTGTTTGGTGGCTCGGCCTCCTCGCCTCTCCAACTTCCAGGCTCAATGCGATGCAGCACGCTCTGTATGTGAGCACCCCGGGGAGGAACCGCCAAAGGGGCAGGACACCCGCCCGTTCGCGCCCAGATTGTCGGGATGTCTTAGGCGGTGTGCCCGTTTGGCGGTCCAGGTTTGAATGTTCGACAGCCCCATGCTTATCGCTATGCAGCAGGCGTGTTACCTGGGCGCTCCAAGGAGCAGTGCCATGGGGGTAGGGCACCCGCAGGTTCGCGCCAAGTTTCTGGGGACGCCTGGAGCGGTGTACTTGTCTTTTGGCTCAGACCTTTCTCTGCGCAGCCTGATGTTCATTGCGATGGAGCACGCGTTGAGCTCAAGCACCCGAGGAGGAATTGCCAGAGGGTTGGCGATTTGCCAGCTCGCGGCCAGATTGTGGGGATGCGTCGCTCGGCTGGTGGTTCAGATTTCTCTGTCCGCAGAGCACCAAGCTCCTCGCGACACAGCTACCGTAGCATTTGAACAATCCAAGGAGAAACCGCCAGGGAGGTGGACATTGGCCCGTTCGCAGTCAGATTGCGCGCATGTCTCACGCTCTTTGCCGATTTGGTGGCCCAGCTTATTCTGTTCACCAAGTCATGCCCACCGCTATGTGGCACTTGAGGACCGACATGGGGGAGCCGCAAGTGGCTTGGATATGTGCGTTAACTTTGCGAGCATGCCAGCAAAAACGCATGCCAAATCTTCAGCTAGTTCGCATCGACTCTGGCAGGTATTGTGCCCGCGCTCACCTGCTGAAGCCATATGAGAAATGGTTTTAGATTCACCCCCACAAGCTGGAACCCGTATTCCCATGCCACCTAACAGTACATCCGCGCTGATACAGCACACACCCAGCGCCCGAATTCGTATCAAATGTTACCATGCGCGCCACGCGCACGCCGCCACGCGTGCGTGTCGAAATCCGTCCACAATCGTTCTTTCTCGCAGCATGTCAAGAAACAGCTCCCCAAACGCATGTGAAATTAGTGCTTCAACACAAATGCCCCCGGTGTCTTGTATTTCGCCGGTCGCTTCCTCATAATCACCCTAATCAGTGCCATCGCATCGAGCCATCGTCATCGACAAACGCCGCCACGGCTGCCACCATCACCCAAACACCTTCACCACCGACACATGGACATCATCATCCTCTTCGATGTTACCAGTATCGGCGCCGTCATTGGCCATGGCGCCGTCATCGTCGTCATCGCCCTCACCATCGCTACTAATATCGTCGTTACCGTCGTTGCCGACGCCATGATGATACCGCGGGCGCCAGCGCCGCAAGACGGGCTGGAGTGCATCCATCGTTAGCGCGATCGCGGCCGCATCGGTTGTGCCGAACCAGCTGGGCGCGCTGCGCGCGATCGTGCGCGCGCTAGCGCAGCCGCAGAGTTGCACCAACCAGTGCCACGGAGCCACCGCCATCTCGGCCGCATGGGTTGTGCAAAACAAGGTGCGGATCAGAGGGTGAGATGCGTGCGCAAGCAGTGGAATTGACATCAAGTGTGGCGAGGTGGTCTACACCGCATAGCATGTAGCTCCACACTGCAGTCACGGACTGGTTGGGGTACACGCTGGCTAACATTTGTATACATCATGGCCAGCTCGAGAGAAGCGACGTGGTGCTAAGAAACAGAAGGGGTGCATGGGGCGGGTAGAGATGGAGGAGGATAAGCAGGAGGAGGCAACATCTGCGTACGCAGCCCTTCAGGCGGGGGCGTCCTAATATCAACGTCGCGTTTTTGGCCTAGGGGCCGTCGGGAAGCGATGATCAGAATGAGGAGCTGGGCCAAAGGAAGGAGCAAGGATCTCCAAGGTCTCGACGTCGGAGGATGGAGGAATCGGAGGGCCAGGCTCGTTTTGGGGGGGCAGCCCTGCGAACGGGAGGTGGGAAACCGCCATAAAAAGCCAACCCAAGTCTCCAACGTTTTCATGCAGTCCGGGGGGGTCGTAAGTTTTTGTTGTTGGTGGTTGAAGGTTTTTTCGCCCCAGGATGCTTCCCAGAAGCTGCGCCTCGCTGGGGCCGATCCCGAACGGCCGAATCGCCCCGAACGCCCTCCGAGTCATGAGCCGAAAACCAGACCCACTACATACAGAAGGAGGGGGAGGAGGAGGAGGAGGAGGAGGAGGAGGAGGAGGAGGAGGAGGAGGGGGAGGAGGAGGAAGAGGAGGAGACATCAAGAAATCAAGATGGATGTTTTGCCCGTTTGTCTGTGCCTGTGGGTCCTTGCCGGGGGCCGGGACCCTGGCAGGCCGAGTCGGGATGAGAGGCCAGCCTTGCAGGACAGGGTCAGGACTCTTGGGGGCCCTCCGGTGGACACATCCAGGCATTGGAGCTACGGGAGGCCCTTGGAAGGGACCCGGGCCCTCGAATGCCATACCCTCCCCGCCGCCCAGCAGCCCCCGCCCTCCAAAGCCGTGCAACAACCCTTGTCTCCAGAGCCCACCCTGAACGCCCTCCCACCCCCCCCCCTCCACGGAGAGCCCCCAGCGCCGCGAGGAGAGACTCGACCCTCGATCGCCGACGACCGCGTCGAGAGGTGCATCGCTCTTTCGGCCCGACTTCGCCAACAGCATCCCAGCACCGTCAGAACTCGAGACTGGAGCCCTATAGACCTCCATCGTTCTCTCGCAGCTCTAAGGCAAGAGCCATCCGTGAGGGTCCCGCAGCACGAGCCCGGGAGCTACTTGCGGCGCCCCTGGGCTTGCCGTGAGCCCTCGCCCAGGTGAGGGCGGCGGGGCCGGCGCCGGAGCCGGGGCGCCGGTGGATGCCCGTGCGGTGGCCTCTTGCTTCGGCTGGGAGTCGGTGGTGCTGCTGTGGCGGGGCGCGGGGGCCGCGGGGGGCGGGTGCTCTCCGGCCGCCCCTGGCCTTGGCCGCCGCCGCCCGCCGCCTGCGACTTGCCGGCGGGGCCCTGCAGGGCCCTGCAGAGCCGTGCAGACCTCGGCTACGCGTGGGAGCGGGGAGGGTATGGCATTCGAGGGCCCGGGTCCCTTCCAAGGGCCTCCCATAGCTCCAATGCCAGGATGTGTCCACCAGAGGGCCCCCAAGAGTCCTGACCCTGTCCTGCAAGGCTGGCCTCTCGTCCTGACTCGGCCTGCCAGTGTCCCGGCTCCCAGAGTGGCCACCGCCGGCAGCTGGGCGAGGGCTGGCATGTCCGTGGCTGCTGAAGCGGTCTCCCTGGAGGAATGAAACAGATGCCCGGAGTGCAACTCAGCGCAGTACAGGGCAAACGGGCTGCTTCCCCGAAGAAAAAACACAATTTCCCAGAGCTCGGTTTTGGCAGCCACGGGTTTGCCAACCATTGCCTGGCTTCTGACATTGGCCTGTACAGGTGATTTGGCCTCCCCGCGGCCCCTCAGAGCCGCGCACCAAAGGTCACCCTTGCCCAGGGTCACTCCTGCGTGTGGCCGTGCACCCTCCCACGTGGCAGCCCCGAGGCGGTCTCAAGAGCCCTCCAAGGTGGTCCCTCTGGCGTCCTCGCATGCGTCCAGGGGGCGATCATCTGGACGGCGCATAATGTAGGGCGTTACAGGCCTATCGAGGGGCGTTCCTCCTCCTCCTCCTTCTCCTCCTCCTCCTCCTCCTCCTTCTCCTCATCCTCCTCTCTGCTTTGCTTTGCTTATCATCCTTGCTGGTCGCCCCCCAAGATCATACATATCGGGGGGCGGCGACGGGAAACAAGGAACATAACTTACCATATTCAATCATTCACAGCGTGGGGCGCCCCATATGTGCATCTATTCGCACGGAAGTTTCCGCCGTGAGCGTCTAGGCGCAAGGCTTGAGTTTTGACAGACTGGGAGTGTATCTAACTGTGACTGAGTTGGAGTGTGAATGAGTCTCAGTCGCCCGAGTGCGTCTATGCGTCTGAGTCTGGGTCTGTCTAAGCTTAGGATGGGTGTACCTGCACGTCCGTGGCCTGATCATGGTTGGGCCTGCCTGAAACGAAATGGCTACGCGATCCCTCCCCACATGATGAAGCAAGGGATAGCGGTACTCTTGCGAACGCCGTGCGAAACCCGTGCGAATCGTTGGCTGGCCCAGAAGATCTCCCGCAGTGGCTGGACCGTGATAGGGATAGCCACGCCACGGAGAGGAGAGGCCCGATCTATAGGACAACCGGTATAACACTTGGGCATGGAGCCGGGGGAGAGGAGCAGTATGTAGGAGAAAAAGCACAGAAAGGTTTCGTGCCCCAGGAGAGGCCCCATGCATAGGAGCGTAAAGGGCACACATCGGATTGAGGGCACAGGAGAAGGGCAACACGTGTTTGAGACACCAGAGATCCGCGCCCCAGGAGAAGCCCAATATAATTTTTACATTCTGTTTATATATAGGGACATGCGTAAACACATAGGAGCGGAGCTACTCCTGTGGCCCCCTGGGGCCTCCTTTGGCTTCCTGGAGCCTCTGGGAGCATCCTGTGGTCCCCTGGTGCCTCCTGCGGCCCCTGGGGCGTCCTTTGACTTCCTGGAACCTCTAGGGGCTTCTTGGGGCCTCCTGGGGCCTCCTCGTGGTGCCTCCTCTTGCCCCTGGTACCTCCTGAAGCCTCCAGGAGCCTCCTGGGGCCTCCTGGGGAGGATGAGTGCCTCGGGAAAGGCACACTTTCTAGGAACATGCGTACATGATTGGAGCCACATCAGAGGGGTATTCTATAGTAACATACGTCAAACACCGGATTCATGCCCCTGGAGAGGCCCAATCTATATGGACACATGTAAATCACGTAGGTTTGGAGACAGGGGATGGGCAGTCTGTATTGATAGACGTAAACCACCAAGGTTTCAACTTCAACGCAGACGAGTCTGGCCACTAAAACACGCACGCCGCTCACACCATCCTCACAGTCTGGTCCCCTTCTGGGGTGCGGAAACCAGCGCCTCGCACGAGACATCCTCAAACATTGCTCCGACAGCAGAGGATGGTGGGTTGGTAACCAGGCAAGCCGCTAGAGATAACCCCGCAATTTTGGCGCGAAGGGAGGAATGAGATACTCCCTGGCGCCTCTCCCCCCTTGGTATTGCTGGAACCAGCATCTCGCCCGATATATCTTCAAACTTTGTTGTGACGCAGACGAGTCTGCCACCAACACAGGCAAACCGTTCAAAACATCCTCGCAATTTGGGCCCCCCCTGGGGGGCAAGTCAGCGCCTCGCCCAGTGCAAAACCTGCTCCGAGTGCGGGGGGTGTTGGACATGCAAACGGGCACACCGTCTGAGACATCCCTACAGCCTGAGCGCGAACGGAGGAGTGCGATACCCCCTGGCCCTCCCCCTCCCCCTCCTTCGGTGTGCGCAAACCAGCGCCTAGCCCAAGGCATCCTCAACATCTGCTCCGGAAGCGGAGGATGCTGGGCGTGCAAACAGGCACACCGTGTGAGACATCCCTACAACCTGTGCGCGATTTGGTGAGTGAAATACCCCCTGCACCCCCCTTTCGGGGCGCAAGCCAGCGCCTCGCCCGAGATGTCCTCAGAATCTGCTCCGTCGTCATCCTCTACATCATCATCTTCAGTCTCATCATCATCATCATCATCATCATCATCATCATCATCATCATCATCATCATCATCATCATCATCATCATCATCATCATCATCATCATCATAGCCATCATCATCAGCGGCGTCATCATCATCGTCGTCATCATCATCTTCATCATCGACACCACCATCATCGTCACAACGATCATCTCACCATCATATCTTCTTCATCAGCATCACCATGGAATACTATGAGTGTGACCCAGAGTGTGATTCTGAGTGGCACTGAGTAGTGAGGAGGAGGAGAAGGGGGAGCCGGAGGAGGAGGAGGACGAGGAGGAGGAGGAGATGGGTGTTCCGCTCTGGCGCCGTGACAGTAACATCAAGAAACCAATGGGAGAAAGGAATCCAACTAGACAGCGCTACAAAGGGGTTCGATTGGACAGCCTCACAGAAAGCATCTTTGTGTATGAGAAGCGCTACTGAGGATTCCTATTGGCAAGCATCGCGCCAGGAATCTTTTGGAAAGCACCACAAAAGGCTTTTACTGGAAAGCCTCGCAACAGGAACCCGTTGGAAGGCACGACTGGGGGCTCCTATTGGAAAGCGTCACACAAGGAGTCCTTCGGAAAGCACAACAGAGGGATTCGAGTGGAAAGCCTCACAATCTGAATCCTTTTGCGGGGAAGCTCCTTACGACGGCAATGGTAACTACAAACCGAAGGAACAACCACATAAGCCAAAAACAGATCGCCTAACAACCGACAACCAATGAAGGGGCCCTTCCCAACAAACATTGCCTGGCGAAGGTCCTAGTTATATGCAGCCGTGCGTAACGCACTTGTGAGTATCGTCAGCGGTGAAGCTCCCTATGGGGCCACGAATCGTTTAATGGGTGCGCCAACTGGGCGCGCCAGGCGCAGACGAACGCAGCCACTGGGGCCTTCTGTGAAGCCCCTCCTGTTACCATGAAACTTGCGAGGGATGTGCCGGCATTGGTGCGGCGGTCGCATGCGAGCGCAGCCATTGGGGCTTTCGGTGGAGCTCCCTATGGAGCCACGAAGCTTGTGAGATGTGTGCCGAAGTGTGCGCGGCAAGCGCATGCGAACGCAGCCACTGGGAGCTTCGGTGGAGCTCGCATTGGCGCCACGAAGCGTGTGAGGGGTGTGCCGAAATGGGTGCGGCGGGCGCATGCGAGCGCAGCCGCTGGGGTCTTCGGTGGAGCTCCCTATGGGGCCACGAAGCGTGAGAGGTATATCCCGAGATGAGTGCGGCGGGCGCCATGCGAACGCAGCCACTTGGGCTTTCGGTTGGGCTTCCTGTGGGGTCACGAAGCTCGCGAGGGGTCTGCAGGCATGGGTGCGGCGGGCGCATGCGAGCGCAGCCACGGGGGCCTTCGGTGGAGGTCCCTTCTGGGGCCACAGAATTTGCAAGGGGTGTCCCGAAATCGGTGCGGCGGGCGCTTGCGAGCGCAGCCATTGGGGCCTCAGGTGGAGCTCGCATTGGCGCCACGAAGCGTGTACGGGGCGCGCCGGAATCATTGAATTATTGCAGCGGGCGCATGCGAGCGCAGCCATTGGAGCCTTCGGTGAAGCTCCCTATGGAGCCACGAAGCGTGTCAAGGGTGTACCGAAGTGTGCGCGGCGGGCGCATGCGAGCGCAGCCGCTGGATTCTTCGGTGGAGGTCCCACTGGGGCCCCGGAGTGCGTGAGGGGCTGATCTGAGCTGCTCACAAGCGCAGAGGGCCGAGGCAAGGAGGGGGAGGAGTGAGGAGGGCGAGGAGGAAGGAAGGAAGGAAGGGCCACGGGGCGCAGGCCCCTTTCAAAACGAGGACCGGGCACCACAGGATGGTTGAGACAACTCAATTGTACTCCACCTCTCCGCACGGGGGGGGGGCGGAGGGAGGGAACCGAATGGAGGAGGAGTGGAATGAATGAGTGATGTTCCTCCTGAGGAATGGAGGAGTTCTCCTCGTCCTCCTCTTCTTCGTCCTGCTCGTCCTTCTGCACTTCCTCCTCCCCCTCCCCCTGCTCTTCCTCCTCATCCTCCTCTTCCTCACCCCATCACGCCCTGCCTTTCACTCTTCACTCCTTCTGCTTCCCCCTCCTCCTCCCCCCTCCTCCCCGTCTGGAGCAGAAGCAGGAGGAGGACCACTCCTCCGCTCCACTCCTCATCCATTCCACTCGTCCTCCATTATGATCCCTCCTTCTCCCCTACGGTTTCCTTCTCCTCCTCCTCCTCCTCCTCGTCCTCGTCCTCTCTGCTTTGCTTTGCTTATCATCCTGGCTGGTCGCCCCCCACCAAGATCATACATATCGGGGGCGGCGACGGGAAACAAGGAACACTAATAAACATATTCAATTA